CAGCTCTGTCGGAATAACTCCAATGGAGAAGTCACTATCTTTTGATAACTCTAAAAGTATTTCTTATGCTCATATGATTTTTAGCCCCAGAGAATTCGATTAGTCCACACAGAATACGGCTACACTCTTTTCCACCCCAAAGCCCAAGAGAACTGCACGGCAGCTAATGAATTACAAGGTGTTACATTCTGTAAATTTTACACTTTCAAGTACTATGATTTCCATCATCTCAAAACTGTCCTGATAGTTATGCCAAATAAAATTCCTTTGCACAAAGAAAACCAAGAGCCAGGGAAAGAACTTAACTTATCCAAACTGTGTTCTAAAACCAGTTCCCCCATTCTCTAAAACCCTTAAGGGATGAGTAACTCTCCCTTAAGGGTTTTAGGGCATGCATACCTCTCTCTCCAAATTTCACCACTTCACACTGCTGCCGGTTCCTTACTGTAGGCAAATACTTGTATTCCAAGACTATTCTTTGATCTAATACCTAAAATATGTTTTGACAGTTTTTACTGATCTTAGGAAGAAAAATGCACGGTGATAATAATATGCACAGCAATAAGCATTGATGGGGGGGAAGCAGCTCATGGAGTTACTGAGGAAGGTGAAATGATAATGGTTCAATCCCACCCCCTTCCACAGCTTTCCCTCACAACAGAGCAAGGGATGTGCGAAAACAGATCAGTAGCACACAACGGCCTCACCACACTCCCACCCATCCATCTGCTCAACAGACCTCATGGCAAGTGTTCTCCTTGGAAGGGAAGGGCAACTTGAAGGGGAAACAAACTTGGCCTTCCTTGTCACTTTCACATTTGAAGTCCTCACATTCCAGCGACAGGCTGCTCTTTGCTCTGGTTTAGCAAACCATAAACATTCTAACCAAGGGATTTCAAATCTATACTGAAAAAATGAAGAGCCCACTTTTGGACCTCATCAATGTTTTAACTCCATGCCTGAAAACAGAAGAGTTGCCAAAAGGATCTGACGCGGAAGAAAAATATCACATGCATCCTACTGCACTTACTTTTGAGAAATTGCTGCTGATTTTAAACAGCCTGAAACTTGCTTTTACCAGATTAGAAATTTTTTTACTCCTAGTTCCAGTCCCCGACTCCCACCTATCCAGGTTTAAGAAAGCATAATAGGGAAGCCAGAGACCCAAATATGGGCTAAAATCTTAGATTGGTTACTTAATAACTATATGACTTCTGGTAATTTACACATGTACAGCCCTCCTGATGGCTGAACCAACTGGGAAGGTTAAGCGAGAACACATAAGCACAAGACATCTTCAGAAAGTATCCCATTCCTTCTAGAAGCAAAATGACTACATCCAATCTCAAGAAAAAAAAAGCCTGACAAAGGAAAAACTGAAAAGGAAATTTACTCAGTCAGATACCAACACTGATACCGATGCTGCTCCCAATATCAAAAATACTGCTTTACATATTAGCAGTGCTGCCTGATATCTGATAATACATGAAAACACAGCAAGTAAGACAGAGGACTTAAAAATATTCTTTTATCTGAAGTCAAAAGGAAGGCTCCTTAGGGCAGCTCCTCAACAAAGCCAGTCAAGGACTTAGATTTTATGCTGTTAACAGTGACTGCAAGCCAAAAATGAGTCAAGGATGTTATGAAGTGTCTAACGTTAAAAAAAAGTATTCTTGGCTAAAGACCATTGGCTTGTCACAATGCTCACTAAGAAGCATCGTCATAGGATCTTCTTTGATAATAATAGATAAGGGAGGATTTAAGGGAGGATTTTGACCCCAATAACCATATAATGTTAAGTACAACGGAAAGCCACATGGATATTTAAACATCAATGCACAGGACTCAAAAAATACAAGCTAATGTTACCTACAAATCCACATACCCTAAAAAAACTATGAACGTATAACTTGTAGCACACTTCCACCCAAGATTAACAAACACCATTTATGTGGGGGTTGCATGCATGCATACATACACAAAGGCATATCACCTGATAATTATACCTGAAAGCTAAGTCCAAAAATACAAATGGTAGGGGCTGGGGATTTAGCTCAGCGGCATAAGTGCCTGCCTTGCAAGCAGGCAGTCGTGAGTTCGATTCCTGGTACCGATAAAAACGAAAAAGACAAAAAAAAAAAAAAAATACAAATGGTTAAATGTATACATTAAGTCAGTAATCTTTTCACTTGAAAACAAGTTTTATAACTAACAGAACAATGCTGAATGCAGACTCAGGAAGATAAAGGCTCTCCTTTAATAGGATTAAACTCCTAAGATGTAGATCCAGTTTTTACCAGTAATTATTCACAGGAAGTTTTCAAAGTTTAGCCCTCCACTGATCTTATTTCAATAATCTTTTGCCCTCTCCTTTTTTCTTTCCATTCATACCCACTAATTTTTCACATTTACACAACTTAACCCATATTAACTTAAGCGGAGAAGAGAGATATGTAACTGAGTAGGTCTGTGCTCTATTAAGGAGTTTCTAACAGGAAATACAATGGATCTGTCATTTTAGTTTTTATTTACTCATCCATAAGGCTTCAGATATTCCAGAACTGGAGATTGGGAATCACTGTTTTTCTAGCCTGAAGGGATGCATTATTTTATCAATATAAGTCATACTTATAGTACTTGTACACTCTTCTATACAGTATTACTAGATACTTTATAATACACAACCGATATGAATAATGCCGATGCAATATTCTCTTACCTAAAGGTAAGGAATTTCTCCACATATATACTTTAAAAATCTGCCATCTAAAACATCTCCTTCAAGCTTGATCTTAAGAATTAAATAGTTTTAAATGCTTTTTCAAACAATTCATGAGAAGCAAAGTAATGCAAAAACTGAGAACTTTGGATACACAATCTCAGAAAAAAACTGTCTACAAGAGAAATCATAAACAAGTGGTAGTAGATCATTTGAGGGGGTTCCTTTGACTCCAAAGATTTCCCAAGAGCAAGCAGAGCTCAGCTGGCAAAGTAAACAAACATCAATGGTTCAAGTGCATTCTGGACAGGAAGGTCCCCAAGCTAAGACATTTCCCAAAGCTTTATTATTCAAAACAGATCAGCCTGATATTTTACTTTTGTATTTTGTTTGCTGGAGTGGCTCAAAATACTGTAAACAACTTTAAAAATGCACCCAGTAAGTGTGTGAAACTTGGGAAAGGCCACAACAACCAACCACCGCCCCTAGGGGCCTGGGGTGTACAATCATAAAAGTCTACAGACTAAGTTTGTGACTGGTAGACTTACTAGGAACACAACTCCACCATGTTAAGGAAGGGACATTATTTTTCTAAAGATTAATTCATACCATGTGTTATTAATCAGCAGGGTAACTGAAAGCTCATGCAAAAAAATGTTATCCCAGTTGAGTAGAACTTAATTGCATTGTTATTATTATGGCTGCTGCACTGGTTCCCCGTGTCACTGGCTCCTCCATCACCACTAGTGCTCAGGCACACGGTATCACAGCATGGGGGAAAAACAGAAAACTCAGAGCCAGGAGGTAAGAACCATGTGCCTCATGGAACAGCTTTTGTTTTTAAGAAAAACGTTTGTCTCTAGAAAGAAGGGATCAAGTATGCGCCCAGACTGCCTTGAGAAGCAATTAAGCTTAGGCTGTTTCATTTCAGGGTCCCATTTTGCACAATGTGGGACCAGCTGTGCGAGATCTTAGAAAATGCAAAGACAGGCAACGTCATTTATCTCCTGCACTGAAACACCAGCTTCCAGGTGGCTTATTCTCCCAGAGAACACAAAGCTAGGTAACCTGCCATCCAGAGCAATATTTCCCAGACCAAGCCAATCCCTCCTCAAGGCCTCAAGAAAGGCAACTGAAGCGTCCCAGTGGGTGTTTCAATCTCATAAAACCGATTCATCTAGGACTCAAGACCTTCCCCAAAGTTTGTCAGTCACATGCAAAAAACACACTCAGAAAGGCTCAAACGTTGGCTGCCTCTATCACAAATTCCTCATGCTGCCTAGTCATATGGGTTTTAGGGTAACCAGCTAGGAAAGGGGAAATGTGCAAGTGTGAGGACTGGGAATGCGTCTGGTCTGGCCCACTTCCCTCCCAACACCCCTTCGTGGGGCTGGGACACTGAAACTGGAAGCGCGGGGACCAAGTGTAGTTCAAACTCTGGCTGAGGCAAGGGGAAAGCCGCCACACCCTCTTGAGCTCATAGCACCGCAGGCTCTGGCTGGGAAGGACCCAGAAACTTCGTCCCAGCACGAAAGGGAGAAAGAAGGGACTCTTCAGAGTCTAACAAGCTACAGGGCAGAGAAACGGAATGCGGGAGGGAGGGCGGCCCCAGCCTGAGCGTGGAGGGCGGGGGCTGCCCGCGTAGTCAGGACAGCTCGAAACACGTCCCAGCAGTTAGATTTAAGACCAAAGGGACATACTGGGGTTCTGCACTGCCTGGGTTTGGGATACCCCTCCACGCTTGCTTGGGGGCCGGGGCGCCGAACGATTGCGCGTCTCCCCGATGCTTTGCGGGTCGCTCCCGCCCGGCCAAGCCGCGACGTCTGCCCTTAAATTCGCCTCCGCTCAGCGCCCGGCAGCCACCTGCGCCCATCTGCCGGGACCCCGCAGGCCTGCGGGTGGGCGCCCGAGGGACGGTCCGCAGGGGCTCGGGGTGTGCGGATCGGGGTTTTTTGTTTTGTTTTAAACAAAAAGCCTCGGCGGCTCGCACCCCCCTCGCGGTTCGCGCCCCTACCCTTCACACCCACGCCGCGCCTCCCCGGCACTCCAGCCGCGAAAGCCTCCCGCCAGACAATGGGTTCGGGGTTGGCCGAGCAGCCCGCCGGTGCCCCATCCCCATCCCGGGACCCCACGAGGACTGAAGGCGCGCGACTCCCCGCGGGCGGACAGGAGGGCGGCGAGGCAGACTACAATGGGTCTGGGCAGCCTCCCCGCGGGACGGCGGGGACCGGGCGAAGGGGAGGGGGCCAGTCAGCTGCGCGCCCGGCCGGCGTGCACTCACCAGCACTATGGCAAAGCGCTCCTCCAGTTCACCTGGCTCCGGCATCGGCAGCTTCAAAGGCACGGTGTGCGCCCTGAAGTCGGTCTGCTGCGAATCCATGCTCCCTGCGTTGCCCATGCTGGCTGCGCGCTGGAGCCGGGGGCTACTCCGGCCCCTCTGTCCGCGTCGGAAATCACAGCAGCTCCAGGCGCTCGGCTCCCGCCCTCCGCCGCGCCCCGGCGAGTGTGCAGCGCACGCCGCTCCCTAGCACTGGCGCCCGGAGCCGAGCCGCCCCCTGGCCTCCCTCATGCTCTCGGCCGCCCAAGCGCGGCCCCGGCCTCTTCTCCTCGCGAGGGGTCTGCAGGGCGCCGGGCGCCTCTCTGCATGGTGCTCCCCGCGCACCGCCCCTTGTCAGCGGGCGCGTCCAGCCGGCGCGTGGTCCCTCCTCCTCCCGACCTCCCGCCGCTGACACTTGCAGACCGAGCCTACACCGCCACGCACGCTCGGCCAGCACCTCCAGCAGACAAATGCGGCTTGGCGCTGGCGGACACAATGCCCCGCTCGCCGACCCCGCCCCCGGGCCAGCAGGCCCCGCCCACTCGCCCCGCGGGCTGCCGGGATACGTAGTTTCGCTCGCAGAGTCCATTCAGCCCTGCCTGCTCCTTGAGACTAGGAGGTGCGGAGACTCCAGTATGGCAAGTCATTTAGATCCTTAGAGATCTGCTTCCCCGACCATGAAAGAAGCTATCTCATCTTCATCACATCCGACAACTGAATCCAGTGAATCAATGAATAGACATTGCATTCTGATTTAAATTTCAGAAAATTTTCTCTGTTCCAAAGTATATAGCTGGATAAGGGACCTCCAAGTTGTTAAGCAATGACCTACTCCCTAAACTGGGTGTCAATCCATAGGTGCTATGTTAACCATTCCCCTGCATGTTGCATTCTCTAATGTGATTGAACTGTTTCATAAATATGTCATATATGATATACAGAGTTAGACCGTGGAAGTCTAGTGAAAATTCAGTTCAAGACAAAAACACCTGTCAAACAGTGAATTAACTAATGGTCAACTTGTAACACCCAGCTAAACTGAGTCAGCATGGTGCTGAACGTGAAAGGCCCACCTGAGGATTGTGCCAACAGCATAAAAAGGAAAACCAGAGAAGCTAATGTGTTGTTGATTCTCCTGGAGAAGCTTGTCATGCTGATTTTCCTGATATGAACTCAGCTGTTCTTATTGTCAGAGAAGCTCAGGTCTTCACTATTGCTGAGGTGGCTGTAGTTCTCTTCTGGGAGTTCTGGACCTTATCTTGAGCATTGCTTCCTGGTTCCAGGGCAGATCCTTCTTCCCTCTGGTGCAGACTTTCTAGCTTCCACCACTGACCTTGGGGCCTTCTCAGTGCAGACCCTTGACACAGATTTACACGAAACATTCTTGTGGGCTCTAGGCCTCCAGTTGGACTTATGGAGAACATTACTATGGGCTAAAAGGTCTACAGCTGGACTCGTGCAAGACATTGCTGAGAGATCCAGGCCCACAGCTGTATTTTTGGGGTCTCTAGAGTGTGGAAAGATTTCCTGCACTCTTTTGCACTTGACTCTTTGGGTGAATATTATAAAATAATCTTATAAATTATGTGTCCTGAATTAAATCCTTTCCCTTGTAAACTCTGACTACAACAAATGGCTTCTGTGTGTGCGTTACTGTGTTCCATGGTGGGAGAAAATAAAGATTGCCTTGGTCTGGAATACTTTCCAATCTAGTAAAGAAGAGAATTTATACACATAACAGTTTTGTAGGACACAATGACAGGGTGTTGGGGAAAGCTTTTAGGAACGATTGTTGCTGCAGCTTTTTTATTTCCCCAAAGTCTTGTGCCAGGCATTGTACAGACAAGACTCAACCATTTCTTCTGGGCTGTATTTCAAAAACCTGTTGGAAAAAGAAACAGCCCCGTAAGTGAGTTTAGCCAACAGCCAGGCAACCACCTGTTTGACTTGTGGCAGAACTGCAATCAGTCTTTGTCAAAGCAGTAGTTCTTAATCCTTGGGGAGACTTTTGCTAAAACTACACACACCTTAGACTCTATTACCAGACTCTTCCCTAAGCTGAAAGCTGGAACCTAAATAGGTATATTTTTAACAAGCTCCCCTAGTGACTCTGATAAGCAGCTAGGGTTATCATCATTTTTAAAAGGTCAATAAATGCAATCTGTATTTCTCAAGTTACACAGTATCAAAAAGTTAACGACTAGTATGTTAGTGGTCTAAGAGAAAAACATATAAATACACACCCTCAAACTAATGAAAATAAATGAGAAAGAAAGCAGTTCACTCAGGCCAGGTGAGACATTTCTGACCTACAAATGTATTTGCTTCATTTGTAATATCTGAGTTGGATTGACTTACGAAATCAGCCCACCCAGAGAGTTGCCAGTCTGGTGGAAAGACTGGAATTCTTTTCAGCAAATGAGAAAGCCTTTTTTTTTTTTTTTTATTACATTTATGGCTCCCTCTGGCCATATTTCTGCCAGTAACCAAGACTTTTTTCCCCTTCCATCTTATCACATCTAGTTTCTTTTATTATCTTAGACTTTGAAAGAAACCAAGGACAAAATGTGCAAACCCATGAGCCAACAATACCTCTGTGTCACTTTGAGATTTACCATCTCTTATTTAGTTATTATTTATCATTATGACTAAGAGCAGAAATAAACTGTCCATAGGATTGTTTGATTCCTATGGGAATTTCTATCAATGTCTCAGGAAAAATTTTGTTTAAAAAGCATAAAGATAAAGAAAACATTTCTATTACTTTAATTTTAATGCTTATCAGCCCTCCCTACAAAATTAAAGTCAGGCAAACATTAAAAATATATATTCCACTTCTGATCACTAACATATATGATTTCCTATGGCTGATGTTGCAAAATATTGGCAAGAAAAAACTTACCTATTAAAACTGTCCACTCATCCTCCGCACATACTAAAATATTTGGGTGCTTATCTTCAATGAGGCAAGCATCTGAAAGCGGGGCCAGGGATGGCATGGTCAGGATTCCCATAATGACGGTGACTGTTTCCAAAGAAGCTTTTCTACCAGTCACAACAAACACTCCTATAATATCAACATTGGAGCTGAGTTTTATTGGCATTTCAAGTTGTAAGTATAAATAACTGCTCTATAGCTAAGAGCACTTATAAAAGGCAATGTAACCCTAAAATCCTCCTGCTATCTGTAATTATATAGAAATAAGATGAGTACCCTGCTAAATATAACCATTGATAATCCTGGATTGAAACTGCGAAGCAGCAGTATACAAGGCTGTAGAGGGTTGGCTACTGGTCAATGTATGCCTGTAACGGTCCTATAGGAATCATATTTCCATCTACCTTTATTTGAAAAGTATTTATTGAGCACTTACTATATACCAGACAGTGCTATTGATTTTAAACAATGTTTAAGTATGACTGTTTCAATTTTTGCATCATACAGCCCTCTTCAAATAGCAAAGGACATATCTCAACGCTCCAGATCTCCCTCTCCTTCTGAATCAGTTAGGAATGTTTTGCCACTTGAGGATTAAATAGTATAACATTTTCATGTATCAAAAAATCTGGGGAAAGGTGACTGTTAATATTTGTTGAGCAATTCAGTAAGGTTAAGGCTAATACCTGTTTTGTCCTTCCCAGACACTTACAAAATAGCAACCAGAGTGCTAGGATTCAAATCTGTCTGTATTTAGGGCAGTAAGCAGGGAAAATGGAAAGAAAAGATTTGCCCAGAAGTGCCAATTAGCAAACTGCCCTTAGCCTTCATTTTCCACAACTAAATTTTGTGACCATCCATAGCTACAGGAAGAGCTGGTGGAGAGCCACAAAACATGGGGTTTGATGAGTTCCTCGCCTGGATCTGAGTACCAAGATTCTGACAGCAAGAAAGGAGAGGGGATTGGCCTGGGTAGCCAACAACAGCCTCTAATCCCTCCCTCCCATGTTTTGTATACTTGAATATTATTTGACATTTGCATGTGACTTTACATTTTACAAAGTACTTTTACTTGTTTTATCTTATTTTGTTCATTAAATATCACATCAAAAAATCTTAGGCTCACATTTCAGTGATTTTTTTTCTTGTTTATACAATGAATATCAGAGTTAAAACTTAGGTATTTTGATTCTTAAATCAGTGTCCCACACCAGCTTTAAAAAGCAGTTCTCTGAAATTATTACGTTCACAGAATAAGATATACTCTGTGAGTCTTGTGCTTCTCTGTCTTTTACACAGAGAAATGAAGACTCCTGCTTTTGATCAAAATGGATAAGTAACAGATTTAAAATCCCACTACAACCTAATGAAGAAAACAACCTGCACAAACAAAAAGTCAAACTTAGATGAAACAACAACGTTCAAAACACTGACCAGAAAGCAGTGAGGAGCAGCGATCCCTGAGAGATGGAAACACATGAAATGAGCTGTGGGATTCCCGCGTTAAACTGCCTACAGAAAGATCCTGGGCATGTTGCAAGGAGGCCCACTGGCGTTCTTCTCCAGGAGGCAGGGTGGGAACCCACTGGACCCAAGGAGCTGATGTTTGCGGGGCAGAATTCCAGAAATGGAGAGCTGCGGGAAAAAAGGTCACCAGATAGCTGAAGAGAATACATTCCAGTAACCAGTTCACTACAGGTCACTGCACATAAAGAAAAAAAACTCAAAGCTGGTCATTTTATAATAATAAAACGGTAATGCATTAAGAGTACATAACACTAATAACAGGGATCAAAATACTACATAAATTTCAGGGAGAAATGCAAAAATCCACAATTACAGCTAGATTTCAACAACCATCCCTTAAAACTTTGTTAGGACAAATGAATAGTAAATCAGTAAGAATTAAAAAAAACTTCAACTATCACCAACTTTATGTAATATAGCTAGACTGGCTCATCCAACAAAAACAGAATATATAACTTTGCACATGTACAAGAAATGTTTACCAAAATAGACTGCATTCTGGGCTATGAAACAACCTTCAATAAATTGAAGTAGGATCAAATATTACCAAGTATATTCCTTTGCCACAGTGGAATTAAGTTTGAAATTAAAATCAGAAAGATACTTGGACAAACCCCAAATATTTGGGAACTAAGTAAATAATGTATTTTAAAAGAAAAGATGAGTCATTTAAAATAGTTAAAAGGAAAATTGTAATGTAGTTTTAACATAATGAAAATTAAAATACATTTTTAAATGTTTGGCATGCAAGCAGGTTAAAAAAATACTTAGACATTTAGAATACTAAATTGATTTACATTTTTTAAAAAGAGACTCGATTTCCTCAGCTTTTACCTTAAAAAACTAGAAAATAGAAACTAAAAATACAAACAGCAGAAGAAAGGAATAACATGCACAAAAACAGAAATCAGTGATAGAGAAAACAGGAAAGCAATAGAAAAAATGATAAAAAATGTACCTAATTGAGAAGATTAATAAAATTGATAAATCTTTCATTAGATTTATTAGGAAGGAAA